TCTAATATAAATATTGCTACTCCAGCTTTTTTTTCATCTCCATTTGCATGAAATATCTTTTTCCTTCCCTCTTCTTTCAGTCTGTGTGTCTTTTGAACTGAAGTGGGTCTGTTGCAGACAGCATACATATGGGTGTTGTTTTCTTATCCGTTTAGTTACCCTATATCTTTTGATTGGAACATTTAATCCATTTATATTTAAAGTGATTCTTGATAGGTACATAGTTATTACCATTTTATTATTCATATTTATATTCTTTTTTCTCCCTTCTTCTCCTTAAAGAAGTCCCTTTAACATTTCTTGTAATACTGGTTTAGTGGTGATGAACTCTTTTAGCTTTTTCTGGTCTGGGAGCTATAATGCTGATTTAAAAAGTTTTGTGGAATAACATAATCATCATATTTCCTCTCTTATACCAAAATGCTTGAAATTGCAAAAAAGGTTAGTGAGATTTGTTCAGTTTATTTAGGATAAGAATGATTTTATCCTACTAGGTAACCTCTACCGATAAATGAAAATATTCACATTAGTCCTCTTTAATGATATCTTTTCCCTTTTTTCTAAATAAAAGTAAAGAAGCCACTTAATTGCAATAGCTTTTCTGGAAGACAATTAAATTTTCTGACTGCCTTCTTTTGCACTTTTCACAGGTATAAGCTGCTTAACCAGATTTTGAACAACATTAGAGAGAATGAAGGTGGTATCGATAAGTTTTCCAGGGGTTATGAATCATTTGGCATCCACAAATGTGCTGATGGTGGTTTATACTGCAAAGAATGGGCCCCAGGAGCAGAAGGAGTTTTTCTAACTGGAGACTTCAGTAAGTACCTTGAAAGCATTCAAATCAGGAGTAATATTTTATTTATGCATTTAAAATATAGACTTGTTATATTTTATATATTTGACTATATGAAGATTAATGATTACAAATATCCTACTTTTCAAAAAAGCTGTAGTATTTATTAAGTCATTACTGTCATGTGGTTATAGGTGTTTCTGCTGTAATAAGATGTATGTGTTCCAGAAAAACTTCATGTTCTGTAAAATCATGTACCAGAAATAACAGTTGATGAGAAAAATAGTGTTAGGTAGACTAGTCTAAATTTAGTCAACTTTGTTAGCAACCTCTGAACAAAACGATAGCAATCTGGGTAAAAATATTGGTGTAGGTTAAATATCCACTAGCATTTGCACCTGGTTAGCTGGCCTTGTATTTTCCTGTATAGTCCAATATCCTTGTTTGAGACCTCAATCAAAGTAGACATCTAATCTAGAGGGTAAATGTCTTCATCACTTATTTTTTTCTTCCTTTTCCTTTTTTATAACACAATGGGAAATATCTTCTCACTCTTATTATCTGCACTATTAATTTCACTAGACAGTTAATCCTATAGAAAGCAGAGTGGTTCTAGAAGTCAGGCTTCTGACTTACAATCTAGTGGGAGGAAGGACCTATAATTAAGAAACTATAATGCAGTCTGTTAAATTTTATTCTAGAAGTATAAATAAATTACTGTAATAGTGACAAGGAAGAAAGCTGTGTTTTGAAAGTGATATAACTGAAAAAATTGGCCTTGGCAAAATAATCATAATCCATGCAAAGGGATTATCAGAATGGTAATATTCCTTTAGTACCATAGAGTGGTGTCGTATCTATTCCATTTGTTTGAGTTTCTGGAAATGGCAAAACTATAGGGACAGAAAACACAGTTGTCACAGCTTTGGGGTAGTAGGTATGAATTATTTATAGAGGAGCATGAAGGAACTTTTTGGGGTGATGAAAATGAGTTATGTCCTGATTTTGGTAGTGTATGTCTATCAAAATTTACAGAACTGTACATGTATAAGAGTGAGTTTTATTGCATATGAATTATACCCCAAGGAACCTGACTTTAAAAATGGTTTGATTTTACATGTATTGTCCAAGGTGGCAATCTCCTATAGCAATACAATGCAAGGGACTTATGTAATTCAAAATTTTTTCGAGATATGTTGAAAAAGTAAAAGGAGAATAGTTGAAAAAATCTTAGTAATGTTAAATTTTATTTGACCCAGTGTATCAAAATATTAGCAAGTAATCAATTTAAATATTTTAATGAGATATTTTCATTCTTTTGTACTGTCTTATAAATATGGTATTTTTTTCATTGGAAATACTTGATCTAAATTTAGATTTAATAAGATTTCCAGTTTGAAAGTACATACCCAAATTTTCCCAAAATAATGAAAAATTTTAGTAACTAAATTGAGCAATAGTTTTAAATTTAATAAAGTAATTAAATAAAATTAAAAATTCAGTTTCTCAGTTGCACAAAACCTCATTTCAAGTGCTCAATAACTACAAGTGCCTACTGGCTCCCTTATTGGAAAGCACGGGTGTAAGGACTTAAAATAATTCTCCATGCAGTCCCCCAAATTAGATGATGTCAGCTCCCTGTGTTTTTTTGAGTTATTGAAAACTTCATGGAGAGTTTTCGGAAAGATCATGTGATCCACTGATTCAGATTAGCTTGGCCTGGTGATAATTATGAAACTTATTTTGAGGATAGGAGACGTTTTACTTAAATTATTTATTAATAACTTATTAATATTTTTTTCTTATACACAAACATGGTTATTTCTACATCTTTATGCAACTGCCTTGATTACTAGACCATTTATTTATTTATTTT